TCAAAATATAGTAAGCAGTTGAGTTGTAGGTTGTGGCAAATTATAGATAATACACAATACTAGTACGATTAAAAGGTATTATTTATGACAAAAATCAGTAATGAGCTTGTAATGAGTAATACTTATACATTTCCTGATTACTGATCAGTTAAAATTCATTATTTTCTGTATAGTGTTAGATATTTATTACAACTAGTGGCAACGCTGTACGCAACGATATTTCTGTCTTTGTCACTTTACCGTAACTNATATATATATATATATATATATATATATATATATATATATATATATATATATATATATATATTGTGTTTTTTATTAATATTGTTAATTTATTTGGTACCTACTATAATTACCACGATTATTACTCCGTTTTCATAAGGCCCACCTAATGACTACAACGATTAGGTAAATTACGATATTGCAAAGTTTTAATGAAATAAATAAAAAATGTGTATGAATATTTTAACTAATTGTACTAAGAATTTTTCTTTCATTCTTAACCCTCTCAAAAATTAATAAGCACGCCCCCGATTTGCTGTCAACTGGGCTACTCTCAATCATTATTGGTTTTAGTATATACTCAGTATAGTTGATTACAATATTTATTGTACAGTACTTACTATACAATAAATATTTATGATTTTCGTGGTCCTGATGGAATCTCTTCCCTTGTTCATCACTCACAGCATCCAAATCTAGATGAGAGTCAAACATACGTATTTCTTTGGACACATTACCCCCAAAGCTTTATTTGACATTATTTGTTCCTCTATTAAGTCTTTGTGTTTTCCGCTTTATGATTTCCTAGGAAATTTTGGACAACACTCATTTTTACGGCTTGGAGTAAGTGACTCACGCCTGAGCCACATTTTATTTAAATAGTGACTTTTTCTATCTCTGCTGTCACATTCGCAAACAAAATAGCAAAATTGTGTGTAATCAACATGTAGTCCAAACAAATAATAAATAACTTTTAAAGTGCCACAAATTTTCCAAGCGTGTTCACTGTATTTAATTTTTTCAAGAAGAAATCTCATATTTTCGTAAGTCTCTTTCATATCGGAACCATGAGCAACCGGCACTGAAGGGAGTTCGTTTCTGTTATGCAGCAACACTGTTTTCAAACTAGTTTTTGAGGAGTCAATAAACAGTCGCCAGTGACTTGGATCATATTCAAAATTCAATAAATTCATCACAACATAAATATTATTACAATGGACTTTAGGAAAGTAAGGTTTTATTTCAACGTCACAATATCGAAAATAAGAAACTTTTGTATCGGGAAAAAGTAAATTCCAGTCCTTTAATCTAGACCCCAAAAGCTCAGCCTGTTTATTTAGACAAATTCAAATCACGTACTGAATCGTTTAAATTACTTTGTGTCAATAAGTGCAGTTCTTTTGAAGTTTGCGGTTCATAACTTGGGTTACTATCTTCGCATATTCCTCATGCTAACAAGTTCTGCCGGATTGGAATCCCGACTTTCTGGTGGATTTGGAGGCTTCGGCACAAGCAGTTAGGCACTATGTAGGATGGGTCTGTTGACTGAAGACAAGTTTGGATACTGGATAGTAGGTTTGGACTTCGTTGTAATGCCTTTTATTTTTGTTTGACTCAAATAAAAACCCAACCTTATAGGAGTCTCACACACGTTACACAACATTTATCTGGGACCCAGAATTTATCTTGATGCTGCACAGTAAATGCAAAATGTTCTTAAAAGCACTGTTCAATTATTGGAGTGAAGTTTCGACGCTGGAATGTAAGAGCTGAATCTTCACACACATAACAAAACTGTCAGAGTTAGTAGAACAGTTTCGTTGCATATTTGCGATGTACCTAACGAAAATAAAATGTATGTTAGCTGATGCAATAGCTATACAGCCGCCTAAATGACGTATATTAGGTCAGAAATGAATATATAGCTGTCACAAAAAAACTGGATGTGATTGAAACAAAATTATTATATATTTGTAATAGGGGTAGGCCAACATAAACAAAACACATCACAAAGTTCATGTGACAAAAACACTGTTGACCTGTGCAATCGGAAACTATTTCACCAGCTAAAAATTCACCTTATTAGTTGTTAAACTTGCTCTATTCGGAAAAGTTTCACTTTCAAGGAATGCTCTACATTTAAAAAGATTTCAACATCATCATTTACATAAATTTTAGTAACCGTGCACCTCCAAGCAAAACGTGCTTCGAGTTTTTCCCCCATAATTAAAATTAGAGAATTTCCATCAGAATCTTGATTTATGGAAGTTCCTGAAGCATTTTTAATTAAGAACCGACCTCTTACCTTCAGAGACTGAAGATTTTTGGAAGTTAATGAAATCTCGGGATGTTTCGTGTTGATTTTCAATGAAAAAAGCCATTGGGATAAAAGCGAATGTCATTTCAGTTCAATTCAACTCCTATTCCACTGAAATCAGTACCACCAACGAATGATTGAATCATATACACTTCCACAAATAAAAGTATCATTGAATCTTGTTCAATGAAATATATGATTTTTTCAAGGGTAAAACACAAGCACTCAGAGCGGTGCCTGTGCGAAAGTAGCGATTTACATTAGATTCAAATCGGTGGAGATTAAATCTATTTGGAAAACCGTTCTTAGAAAGTTTATTCGACATAACCGCAGTTCTACAGATGAAAGAGTTCTTAAACAGGGAAGTTTAAAAAAAATATCTGTTTTTCCGTTAATCAGGTGTACTGAGTTGAATCTCAAAACAATGAGCTGCCACAGTTTGTCGCGTATTTCTGATATGAACCGCTCTTGGTGGAATCAAATATGCCAAGTTTTGTTTGTGTCTCCAATCAGGCGGATCAATCAATATATACTTCACTGTCGGAAGATTAGTATCTTATTGACAAAGTCTTGTGAAAAAATTAAATTAATGTCATAAAATATAATACAAAATACAATACATGACATAAAATATAAAAAATAGAAACATTGCAATTTCACAAATAACACATTAAGAAGACAGATGAGTTTAGGTGAACATTGAAAAATCAAGTAGATTTTACAGGTTATCATGGTAGAATTCATGGATCGAATAATAAGCTTTTTTGATTAAAAGATGTTTAACTGTAGGTACTTCGGAACTTTTGGATATCTGTGCTATTTTTCAGAATGGTAAGAAGGTGATTATATACTTTAATGCTTCCATAAATCACAGAATGCTGTGTCAAGGTGAATTTTGGAATAGGTAAGTAAAGAATATGGTTTTGTCTGGTGTTGTGACAATTTGTTCCGGGAGTGTACATGCTAGTTTTATTTTTTTGAATTGAGCATACCGTTTCCATTATGTATAAACAGGTGACAGTTAATATTTTGTGGCTGATGAATAAAGGCTTGCAGTGATCTATCTCTCTGCTTAGACTTTGTAAGGTATCCCAAAGACCTCTTCTGTAGCTTAAATGTCATATTCTGTAACTGTAAACTACAATGGCCCCAGAAAGCTATTCCATAGCGAATATGAGATTCGATCAATGCAAAGTAAGCCATTCTAGCTGTAGTGTACACTAATTCATTTGATATCACTCTAATAGCATAACGTCCACTAGATACTTTTTTACTCAGATGGGATACATGTTCTTTAAAATTCAATTTATTGTCAATGTGAATGCCTAGGAATTTAGAGTGCTGTTTGTTTTATATGTAGTGGTTACCCAAATCTAAATCGTCTAGTGTATATTCGAAAGTAACTAGTTTTGTTTTGTTTAGGTTGAAGCACAAAAAGTTCGCGTTACACCAGACTTATGAATAGGTGTGAGCCACAATAAACCCTTGTGGGTTGCAGTGGAGAGTTGAATAGACCCACTCACTTTGGACCTAACGTAACCTAACCTACGGTACGGGACCACTTTTCTTCGTGTACGGTATACTTACTTGAATAATATCAGTATACTTATTGACTATGGTTTTTAGAAAAAGCTCGTTTACAACTTCAGAAACGAGGTCTGACTTCAGGAATTCATCAGTTTCTAAAACGAAAAATGTAAATTTATTGAAAATGAGAGATATAAGATTTAAAAATAACTATCTCTCCCAACTACCTACTAAGTAGGGTGTGGTAAACGTCTGTCGAAAAACAACTACTTCCCCGGCTATTACTATGTTGGATATTGCAGGACCATGCTGAAATTATTCAAGTAGATCACCTGCAGACCGCGGTTTCGAGGTATTACCTCTCGTCAGTACAGGAAATATCCTACCCAGGAAGCAAATTGTCTGGGACTCGATTAATTTCAACACGGCTTCGCTACATATAAGAAACTTTTGTCTGAGAGAAATATTGTTAACTGGTAACAACTCCATCTCGTGGAGATGGAAGAAACATGCCATACACCAAAACTCTAATAGACCATGCATTTTCTCCAAACTAATAAAAGTTGCTTCACTAAAAATGTTCCATCCTCCAAACTAGTAGTCCGACAGCTGTAAAATTTGTAAACGTGTCTTTTGATGGTTTACGGTAACTAAATATCATATGGATTTAATATTAGTAGCTCCATCTGTGAAGCGACATCTAATATTTCACTGGTTCACTTGGCTTGCTAACCCTGTCATGTCTTGGACTGAACTCAATTTTCAGATCTTTACTACAATGATTATTGAATAGTTCTTAAAATTTGACTCGATATATTGCTTCGAAAAATTAAAATAACTCCAGCATATTCAAAGGTGTGTTTGGGAAATTGTGCTTCGCTGGTATAAATGAAACATAAAATTATGTTATGTGGCCATTTTCTACTCTGGTCTGAGTAAGCACTATTTCTCTATGTTTATTTTCCAGATCATTCCGAATCCTTCAGAATGATTTCATATAAATTCATACTCGTGCGGGTCATAACAAAGTGAATATATATGGACGATAAAATAAGAACCCAAGTGTCAAGGCCACCAGAAAGAATAAACAAACGTGTTTAAGTACAGAGAAAATATTTTATGACTTGCAATGACTATAACTACGACTTACCCAGATGTTCCAATAAAACACTAGAAAACTTTGCTGGCGGGAGCCCTAGAAAAAAAGGTACATGTTACTTGAGAATGTTCAAGTTTGAAAATGTTGTTGCGGATTCACCGTATATCCAATTTTCATTTTATGCAATGAAAATGTCATCTGCTGTTTAAGTGGTGTATTCACTTAGGTAATAAGTTATTTAGATTTAAAAGAGAATAAATCTACAAACTTTGCTTATTAAAAACAATAAAGACAAAACTTTAGATAGATCATGAACTCATAAATTGATTTGCGGTTTTTGCCCAGAACTTTATGTAGACCAAACAGAGAGAACTTGTTCCCAAAGAAATAAAGACCATATGTAGTAGTTTTTTGAGTGCAACGATCAATTTCAGCAGAAGGAAGTGAGTTCAAATCTCGACTATGACGTGTTACATTTGGAAGAGGAAGGTTTGAAACTACATCTGTTGGAAAGTTACAAAATCAATAGGTTTGAAAATTTCAAAAATTCACTGAATGACAAAATATCATCTTTATACAAAAATTTTTGTGAAATTTTTCAAAGAAGTCGTCTCATCAACTATTGACAAATATTTTTTCATTTTATTTATTGGTTTTAGAGATTACAGTGAAAGTAATATTTTTAGATGGTGGTCACATCTCGTTGAATAAGTGTGACTGCTAATGCTTTTTTTATTTTTAGATATGTAACAAGATATTACAAGAATATATAGGCAAGGACATGATTCTCTCCAACTTTCATTCAATAATGTTCTGAGCCATTTTTTCTGCAGTAAAAATAGTTTCTGAGCTGCTGATGCTGAACCCCGTAATAAGATTATGAGTCGGGAATTAATTTCAGCATGATAAAATTTTTGTAGTACTTCATTTCGTAGGCATTTCAGTTGGTATATTTATTTTGCTGTTTAGTTTGGACATTGTTTCTCCGATGTGAATTCCCCAATCTGATGTGTCATTCATAATTATGCTTAAAAATTGTATGTTTCCGCCTTCTTAGATTCAGTCCTCCCATTTTGATTTCTATGTTTTCAATCCTGTTTTGTCTAGAACGAAATATTGAAAAAATTGTACTACCAGAATTGACATATAATTTGTTTGATGAAAACCAAAGTATAATTCTTGTCATTAAATTATCACAGTTTTGTTTGGTGGCTTCTAAAAAGACCGAAACCATTGATGTGTATTTCCTCTGATCCCATAAATCTAAAGCTTTTCTAACAATCGATCGTGTGGAGCACAATCAAATAAATGTATTGCTTAGATCGCAGTATATTCCAATTAGACATCTTTTTTTGTCCAATTCCTTCGATAATGTTTCTGTAGATCGTAAATAGAAGTTATTTCCAGATACAAACTCGAAGAAATAGCCTTCCTGAAACAACTACTTCTACATGAACATTAAATAACACGAGAGAACAAGTAATTTCTAAAGAACTGATAATAATGATAATTTATTTATTTATAAACAAACAAAAGTACAGATTATATCAATGAAAATGAACGCGATATATATAATATTGAATCCACAAAAGCACATGCTTTTCTTGAAACAATTCACTATTTTAATATTCGAAATTGATTATAATTACAATTATTATCATGATTAATGCGATATATGGATGCATTGGCTAATTTTTTCGCCAAAAAGCAATGCTTCATCATTACACAAAATTCCTTTTTGTCTATTTTCTTCAAACTAACAGAAGTTGCTTCACTCGAAATGTTCTATCCCACAAACTAATAGTCCGACAGCTGTGAAATTTGTACATGTGTCTTTTGAAGGTTAGG